CCCACACCCACACCCACACCCACACCCACACCCACACACCTATACCGACACCGACACCGACACCCACACCCCACACCCATACCCACACACTCACACCCCACACACACCCTCACCCCACACACACCCACACCCCACACCCACACCCCACCCCCAGTTACACACCCACACTCCCATCCATACCCACCTCCACACCCCACACCCACCCACACTCACACACCCTCACCCATACCCACACCCACATCCACACACCCACCCACCCACACCCACATCCAGACACCTCACCCTCACACCCACACCCAAAACTTTTGAAGAGCTACAGTTTTGTTGTTTCTAGATATCTAAATGGCCATGGCTAGTCTACCTTCTAGTGATTCTCTTGCCAATGCCTATGATGAAAATCTTGAAATATTCAGTGTTATCTGGCTTGACAAAAATGTTCACTCTGAAGAGAATCAAGATAAACAACAAAGACTGCGTTCTATCATCAATCATCTCAAAACATTTCAAGATGGAGAAGAATGTAAACAATACATAGAACGAAGACCAATACACAATCGAGTAATCCTCATTGCTAGCGGTCAGTTGGGTCGACAAGTGGTACATTCCATTCATCAACTTCGACAAGTCTCGGCAATCCATATTAATTCTACAGACAAAGAGAACGATGAACAATGGGCAAAGGAATTCATCAAAGTAGGGCTGTTCTTAAAATTTTCAGTATTGGTGTACTGTCGGTTTAGGTAAGGGTGATTGCCCGTGAATCGAACGAACTGATTTCTCAAATTGAAACAGATCATAAGTGTCAGATGAAGATGCAAGAACCGTTATCAATCAACATGTTCACTACAAGTGGCGATGCAGGGAAGTCTACAATAGGAATTAATGGCCAATTTGCTTTTTCCCAATTACTTCTCGATTGTCTGCTTCGATTGAAATCAAATGAGATGGACAGGAAGGAACTCATTTCTTGTTTTGAGAATGAATACAAAGGCAACCATGTTCAACTCGCTAATCTGCACGAATTTCAAAATGATTATACATCAGACAAAGTTTTGTGGTGGTACACTCGTGATTCGTTCTTCTACAAGACTCTGAATGCGGCTCTCCGCAAGCAAGATATTCATATGATTTTCTTGTATCGTTCATTCATTGTCGATATATATCGTCAATTGAAGCAGTATCAATCTAAGGACTCTATTCGAGTTTATCGCAGCCAGTTAATGTCAACCGATGAACTAAATTATATTAAACAAAATATTCACCAATTTATGTCCATAAATTCATTTCTTTCCACAAGTAAGCGACATGAAATAGCTGATTTCTATATCGGCGACAGAACTCAGCGGAGCGATTTACAACGAGTTCTGTTCGAGATTAATGCTGATCCGAAAGTGGTCTCGACGAAACCATTTTCTGATATCAGCCCGTTTAGTCATTTTCCTGAAGAATCCGAGGTACTCTTTATGCTAGGTTCCATTTTCCGTCTCAACTCTATTCAGTATGGAGACGATCAAGTGTGGATAATAAGAATGTCATTGTGTGGAGATGATGAACATAATTTGAAGAACGTTCTTGCAGACATGAAGAAGCAAAATGGCACTGGAGCGACGAATCTGCGAACACTAGGGAAATTGCTATGGACGATGGGCAAACTTGATCTGGCTGAAAAGTATTATACTCGTTTGCTCAAAGAACTTTCGC